CAAAACGTACGAAAGAAACGATTATATAGATTCACGCGGCAAGTACCATGTCGATGGAAGTGGAAGCGTGCTCAAGTTCACTCCTTTTTGAAAAATGCAAACACCAACAAAACGGACGGAACATCCATCCACAAGTTGAACTCGCTCCCGCGACCGAATTGGACAACTTTTACAATGAGATCATGTTGGTTATGTTGCTTTCTGCGTGTATATGTGTGTGCGTCTCAGGATACAAAGGTTTACACTACAATCGCTCAAACCACAACTATTTGAGCTCGTTTCTAATCCAACGTGTCAACTCCAAGATCTTCCATCCTATCACTATGCTCAACTTGCGACATGCTATACGTTGCTGGTGGTGCTATTGATGACATCGTCCCACCTATATCACTGGTTGTCATTGATGGTCCATTTTCAACTGTCGAAGCAGTATTCGTGGAGTCAGTATTCGTGGAGTCGGTAGACATGTTTGATAGTACAGCTGTGGGTCCTCCTAAATCATTCAACCCTGCTGCTGTTGATGCTGTTGTTGATGATGATGTTGCTGGAGGTGGCGATTGAGGTTCACCGGCTTGTGCAAGACTCTTGGTTTGAGGGAATCCTGCTTCATACTCTTCCCGACTTTTTGGTTTTCGTACAAAAATGTCTAATATACCACCAATTTCTAGAACAAAAGGTAGATATGTATGTGAGCAAAAAAAAACGATTCGGAAGAGGACGCTAATTACATCATGACTCTGTGCTTCTTGTGTTCCTTGCACATAGTCTCTATATGTAACTTACTACCCCTCGTTATGACGTGGAGTGCAGCTTCTTATGCGTGGCTGGTGCTAGATGTGCCGGATGGGAGTGTTGTTGTTACTGGGTATGTCTGATCCGTGAGGATATCCATTTCAAGTTTCTGACCTACGTTTGTTTGCTGTTGGGGAAAAGAAGTATAGAAGAGCAGACTTACTGGAAGGTCTAACGGAAATGTTTCCGTATGCGGGGCTGACGCTGGTTGTTGTGGTTGTTATTCAAGATACCGCAAAGAGGTATGCTGGGTTGGGTTGGGTTGGTCTTGCAGTAGGCTTTGGACGTCCTCGATTGTTGAAAGACACATTTTCTTTGAGGTCTTTTTTTGTGCTTACACTCTCCTCTCATATAGGACAGTGAAACGAATCACACTCCTCCAAGATGGCAAAGACTTTGTCCCCGATTCTCCTAATGTGATATCGCCATTCAGACGAGTGTATGCTGTTAGTGAGTTTACTAAATCGATGGTTGTTCCTAATGGTATGTGTGGTGTGCAAAAAAATTCCACATTCTATATCACCTCTACAAAACAATACGATCTTATACCATGCACCACAAATGCAGGTCTTAATGAGGGATGTGAGTGTGTGTTTTATAATGTTTGTGCTGATTGTAATAATGTATAAGACATGGCCAGTTATGAGAAAGCTTGCTTGATCACAGCTGTTTCTAGAGTGAATTTGGGAGGTGCTCGAGCAGAAAACACTATGTCAGAGTTTCTGAAACTGGTCAGCTTCAGTCTTCCTGGACCACTTGAATGTACATCTGCCGATTGTGGTGTATTTTCGAAATCTCGACAGAGTCTGATGGTTGGATTACTTGAGGAAGTCAATGTTAGGGCTAGTCTGCACCTGTTGCAACCAGACCAGCCCATCCCAACAAACAAAGATATAGTCAAAGACGTTGAATTTTGTACGGGTAGATGGAGCCATGGTACTTTCGGATTGCTACAATCGTTACATCAAAGTGAACGCGAATATTTAGCTTCGCTTGTAAAGGAGGACGACAATCTATACCTGAACAGCAGCTGGAAGGATGTTATCTCAAACTGGACTCGACAGGAGCTTATAGACACTGTAAGATATGTCATGAATGCAGGTGCTTCTCACTCCGACCCGTGGGGTAAAGAAATTCTCAACCAACTCGTAAATGAATGGACTGGTGAGGCTGAAGAAGCCCAAATTGAACCGGAATTGCTTTGGAAGGCAACCAATCGAGCTCCGGGAGCTTTGGCAAATGTGCTACAGTACAGCCAAGAGTATCTGAAAGGGAAAAAAATTGATCTAAACAGTATGAATGAAGGTAGCAGATCGACTCTTGCTAATGAAATGCTGAAACTGTATGCTGCATATCGTACGGCTGCGTTCACTTTGGAGTTGTTGGACACTGGAAAGGCTGATCTAGTAGTGGCAGGGTACTCTCGTTCCTCCCTCAGTGGCTGTCTGTTGTTGGCACAATGCAAGGATGCGGTTAATGCTTATATGGATCAGCATGCGCGGCATTTAGGTATTCATCCACGCTTTATCTGTAGTTTTTGTTGTAATTGGCCTTGTACGCTGACTTTGCTCTTCAAAAACAGGTGATAAAGGCGCTTTCTCGATCAAGAAACAGTTCTATTGGATACGAGCTGTTGGGAAACGGCTCAGTGAGGTGAAAGTCTTTTGTGGAATAAAAAGTAGAACTGGACTCTCACATTGACAAATGTAGGCTCTGCTATCGCTGATGATGACAGTTCTTTTAGGATTAGGTCCACTAGCCTCTCTGACTGCTTCACGTCGCATCTTGACCTTCTCTGGTACTTTTTTTGTACAAGACGTGCCTTGTATTGATGATGTAGTCCGTGAATTTAGAGCCTATTCAGTCACTGCTGAGCGTGATGAGTGGTGGGTTGTAATATCCATGCAGAATCCCTTCATCACGGCCATATCAACCCTTCTATCCGCTGCAATTCAACTCGTATCTGTCTGGATCGTTTGGATATACACTCAAGATCAGCACAAAAACACTGGCCCCGCCATCGACTTTCTATGCTCTCATCAATCTCTTATAATTTACCTGCAGGCTGCTTTATGTATTGGTGGAGGTCTGGCTCTTGTCTTAAGCAACCAAAAGACCATTAGACTAGGCGCTTACGAACCGAGAGTGAAGCCGAACGTAGATCCGGGGATGAAGGCTACACTGTATGAGCTTGTGTTTTGTCTATTCTCGGCAGGAATTGCTTCTTGGTTTATAGTGAATGCAGTGGAAAAGGTTTATTTGCAGGTACGGAATTGTGCCTATTTACTGCCATTTCTATGTCCTGACATGTTGTTACGTCTTAGACTACCGTTAAAGCTGCTGCTTTATTGTTATGGATTAGCGGTGAACTTTTAAATGAACATAGAAGAGGCGGTAGAGGCTTTGTAAGTCATGAAGTAGTGGCTTACTTGTTGGTGACATTCAGCGTCTATTTTGGAGTTAGCTGCTAGAACTTCTGTAGTGTCTACAGCAGCATACATCTATTTTCTATCAATACCCGTTTACCAACTTCTTCTTTTCTGCACATTTGGTTGTTTTCGCTTTGGAGTTTTCGAAGTAGTCTGAAGGCTTTTGTTTTTGAACTTGGATCCTCTGTTTCAATCGAATCTGTGTTATTATTTGTTGAGTCTTGCTTCGTGCTGTTTGTCATCACCGAGAAGCAGTTCAAAGAAGCAAGTGATTGTTGGTGATGCTGATTTTTACTACTTGATGATTCCATTCTTATACTGTTACTTCTTTCATTTCTCTCTTCAATCAAAGAATGTTTTCCCATCCTAGTTGACTAACGTCGATGGATTTCTCTCAACACTGCTTCAATTCATCGTATCTCCTGAATCTGATCCTACTGTCAGACATGCTGGTTCTTGCTCATCATTATCATCATGCTGCTGTGATTGCACTTGGTATCTTCTGCTCATCCTACACCATCTATTAGCTGCAATCTTCAAGAATCAAATCAATGGAAGATGGGGTAGATGCATCTGAAGGTCAACTCATCGGCCCGCATGATACCGTCATTGTAAAGCAAAACATCCTACAGGCAATCGTACAGGCTCCTCACATCATCAGGTGAAAGGAGGGCAGCTTGTCTGTTGGTGAATCTTTCAACACCGTTTGACACGATCATCCTATATTATAGGGTGCAATTGTCTACCTGCTTGGCCAGCATGCTCGGCGTAGACTATCCTAAGAAATGGCCCGAGTATCTGCCAAGTATTGACACTCTTCTCAGATCAAATGTCAGAGAAACGATATTAGGTGGTCTCATTTGTTTGCAGGAACTCGTCAAGTCTACCAGTGAGCTCTTAATTTTACATCCATTATGTATTGTGTAATGACGACATTCAAAAACAGGTGGAAGACACTGGAAAAGGAGGACCACTGAGTAAAATCATCAAAACCACATTCCCGACTCTATTAGCTATCGCCAATCCTCTAGTAGCTCAAGATACAGAAGCTGCTGAAATGCTGAAAATCATATTGAAAAGTTACTCAGTGGGTAAGAGACAAAAACAAAATCCACTCTCCAACTTGACATAAGGGAATGTACCGACGTCTTTTTCAGTTTATCTTAGCACGCTCTACCAAACCATTACAAGAAGTCGCATCTCTCGTACAATGGGCTACCTTGGTCGTAAATACAATCCAAAAAGACTTGTCAACCATTCAGATGCCCGCTGACCTAGAAGCTAGAGAAAAACATACGTGGTGGAAGGCAAAGAAATGGGCTTATCAATGTTTATATCGTCTCTTGTCAAAGTGAGTTTTAGACGATGTCTATTCAATCTGTGTAGTTTTTTTTTCGCTTGATCTTCAAGGCCTGATTCTTCAACAATCATTCAGGCATTGAAATCCAAACACACCTGCTCCAGGAGGTAAAAAGAATGAAAAAGCACACGCAGCATTCGCTCAAATGTTTATGGAAAACTTTGCTCCTGAAATTGTACGCGCATACCTACCACAATTGCAATTATGTATATCAGGTGTTTGGATGACGAATCGTGCAAAGCAATTGATTGCACTTTTCTTTTGTGAATGGTGAGTGCTTTCGATGTGATTTTGGGAGTACACTGTTAATCAAGTTCACATTTCAGACTATATATCGAACTATGACAAAATAACACGTGGAATAACGTCGACATCCGAGCAGCATCAACGCCCCCTCAACACATACAAACCCAGTCCTTTCACATGCCACAACCCTCAAGGCTCCCATCCTCATTATACCAATGAGCAAACCGAGAAAAGACACTATTTTTCTTCAAGCGCTCCATAGCCTCTGCTCCAAGAACAAGCTGGAATTCAGCACCCGCTTCACCACCTTGCTCATCACACATTGGTCGAATGAAGATTATAATTACGGGTAGTCTGTTTGGACTCTGCGGCCTGCTTGAGTGTGTTAGCTCATTCGTGAAGTGGATTCTTTCAACAATGTGATTACCGAAACTCACATGAATCGGATGGGACGTCCAAGTCCGAAATCAGTATCATAAACACCAAATCCTTTCCAGGAAGTCAATAGCACCTTCACATTGTCATCTCCCCTAACACATTTTGCTAGCAAATAAGTACAAGAACTTGAATTTATCAATTGACCGACTTACGGGGTTGGTCCTTTGAATGGAAAAGTTTCGAAATACTCTGGTGTCAATGCCAAGATTCCTGTACGAATATCGCAAGCAGCCATACGAATCGAATCCTCGTTGCGAATCAAGTCCTCGATCTGGAATTTGCAAGACTTGTCAAGCATAGATACCCAGGCATTACCGACATAATCCATTGGGACCAGCGGCGGTCTTGTGGTTCTCAAATTAATGAGGTAGGGCATTGTGGTTGCAGTCCTTCCTGCTAGAGTGCTCTTTGGCAATGATTGGAGAATCGAGCACCAGATTAGGGCAGCTAGACAATCAGATGTTGAGACTTGGGATGCTGCTTCCTTTATCGGGCCGTCAGGTAATGATAAGCTAGATGTGTATACTTTGAGTGCTTTCAATGCAGACGGTGTAAAGTAAAAGTTTTCGACCATGATGAGTGGAGGAGCCGGAGGTGCTGCTGGTCCTACAAATACTGGAGTTGATACTGGAGCTGTACTTATAAGTTGGTTTAACCCGACTGGTACTCTCAAAATAGATGGATCGCGATTAGGTGCAACGATGGTCTCTCCTCGAGCAGCAGCACCCCAGTCTTTGATAAACTAGAAAGTCGCATTTTCAAAAGTTTAGTCTCTTGACCTTTTTGAGAGGGGTTTGCAATCAAACTTGCCTGAAACATTGCATGACCATCCCACACAGTATGAAACATGGAGAGCGCAACAACGATTCCACCGTCAGCTATTGTTTTGTGAACGGGTTAGCTGTATGTTTCTGCAAAGCAAGGAAAGAAGAGCAAGCTGGCCGAGTCGGTCTTACCAAGAACGGTAATCCTCACTCTCAACAATTCAACGGAAGACCAAGATGGGTCATTGTCTTGGAGAACGGGAATGTATAGAGTATCAGGCACAGCAGTTGGTGCGAAATTTTGGTCCTTGAGCCCCTTGATTGTCAATGCAGAGTCGTCAGCAAACTCGACGTAGCATCCCCGTTCATTCTCCGACAGGACGACTCGAGTAGGCGAGTATCGAGTGACGGTTCCAGTTAGGAAACGATACGCCGATAAGGTTTTTGACAGAGATGATGTCCAAAACTCGGTTGAAAGTGGGTGTGTTGGCGCTTCAAAGAAATAGGCGACACGAACTAGTGAGGGATTTGATATCCAATCAGTTTATAATACGTAGGAAGATGTAGTTAGAATGTGTCAAGACACTCACCAAAGAGCTTTGCGACGAGACAATCGAGAATGTTCAAATCGTAAGGTGGGGTAGGATTATCACCTGGAGGGGCTCTGACCAGATGAATTTCACGTACTACATTGCTTGATTGGGGTATTGTCATTGTTTACGATGTCCTCTAATGTTTGTAAATTACATTCAGCCTTCATTCAATCGCACTAAGCCTGCCCTGTTCGGCTGTAGCGGTTGCTCATCGTCCAAAACTTGATCCTTTGTTCAGAAATGAGAGGAGCCGAGTACGTGTCAAAACGTGGTAGATGTGCAGATATCGAGTTCCTTATGATTCCAATGCTGCCTAGACACGCACGCACGTCCAACCTTGCATGTAAGACGGAAACCTGTGGAATGGCATAGCTATCTAGGGACAAAAGATACGGGACATCAGACACGGTAGTTCATGATACCGTAGCAAGATGGCGCGTCGTTGACACGTCGTTCAAGCTCAACTCACAAAATCCTTCCATCTTGCTTTGATGTCGTGTTGAGATAGCTTTGTCTAG